GGGGCATCTTCTGCAGCTAGGATGGAAGGCTTATCGGGGGTCAGCCTGAACCCTAAGCCATAAAAACATCCCCCTTGCAATACGGAGGGCCCTTGGAAGCGGGTATAGTGGGTATATGGAGCTATACGGGCTATAGTCTAAACTTTTTAAAGGGGATTATATAGGGGAGTATTATAGGGGTACTAAGGGTAATCTACGAGTTTAGCCCGTAGCTCATACAGGGGTATGCAAGGTTTGGGGCTTGGGGTGCTTAGGGGTCATGTAGGGTTTAGGGGTTAGGCGTCACGGGTTCCGAAAATTAGCAACTATTTGGGACTTCTTATAGCAAGGACTACGGTCCGAGTATTGCCCCACGTGAGGAGTTGAGCCCACTAAGAAAACGTTCTTTTCATAATTGAAATACCCAAATTGGAGGATACAATCTTGCTTTACCCTGAACCCAACTAAAACACTACTCACATTCCATCTTCCTGAGTCGTTGACGGCGACAACGGAGCAAGCAGCGCCTTTCCACCGCGGCAGGAGGCAGATGGCTTATGAACAGCATAGACCTACACATTTTTCAGCAGATGATAGCTGTTCAAATTATCTACCCCCAAGGTGGGCTTGCTTTTCTCCTGTACAAATACCTTTAGAACAACCCCAGTATCCCAAACGCATGCTCCTTATCCTTAAAGGGCCCCTAAAAGTGAACATGGAGGGGACTGTAGCATACCTCTTAGCTTCTACTAGGGGGGGTGCATAAAAAGTAAGTTGAACATGTCTTATCAAGGATGCCCGCATGTAAGGCTTACATCAGGCTCATATTAGGTTAATGGGGCTATATGAGGTCAATACACGATTCCTTGAAGGGTATCCACCTGATAACTATCCGCATAGAATCCCAGTTATATAGCAGTTTTCATGTTCTTTTCGATTCCCCTGTGCACATACATACTTCCCCAGATTCCATGGCGTGTTCCATTTCTTTTTCCATCTGATTCTCCATTGTTGGGGAATTCCTTGATCTTAGAGCAGAACCCTAAACTTTAGAATTATTTGGGCCTGTCCCTGGTCCCTAAACTCGGCTCACCCGCTGCAATACTGTGAAAGTGAAACCTAGAGTCTAAGTCCATAAGACCTAAACCCCTGAACATGACAATTCGGCATTCCCTCCCTTAGCCCGGTATGGCCTTCCTTTTGGTTTCTGCTTATAAATTCTGGGGCACATTCCAAAAATCGCCATCCAGAGTCCAAACATGGGGTTTTAGCATAAACGTATGTTAGAGCCGATTTTGTATTTCAAACAGAACCGTAGGCGCTAGCAGCAGTCGTACTGATAGTATTAATAGCAACAAGAGTAATATCGACCCTTACTAACACCTCAAGCCAGTAGCTCAACCCTTGCCCCTACACCCTAAACAATACATAGCAGTCTCCACCATTTGGCCAACAGCTTTGTCCTCAGTTCCCGAGTATCCCCCTTAACAGACCCTCTAATACTCCCCTCTTAAAAAACCATATACAACCGCAAACCCTAAAAACAAATATGGCAAGCCCGGCCTGTTGCCACTGCCTCTGGAGATTTCCAGGCACTTTCTGAAACTCCTGACCCAGGAATCACTTGGAGTGTCAGGTGGACCTAGTGGGAATACTTATGTCCGCTAGAAGCCACATAACAACCCCAGCTATCCCCATCCTTAACCCACTTACTAAGTCCCCATGACCCCCCAAGTAGGCGTAAGGCTTCGGGCTTTCTACTTCGGGCTTCGGGTTAAGACTTGTACGTGAGCCATAGTCCAAACTCACAGTATCCCCGTTAATACTCGCTGTAGTAGTCCCCTATACAATCCCCTATATAACCCCCCCTTGACACAGTTAGACTAGAGCTCATAAAATGCGGAGTTCAGAGTGGAGGTTTTTGCGTTAACTGGCCAGTAGTCATCACTACAAGGGGTTGTTCAAAGCGTTTACAGAGACGAAGGGCATATGATATAGGGTTTGTATAAGGGTTCTATAAAGGTTGAATAGGAATAATGGAAAATGGAAAAATGGAAGCTACTAATCTAGAAAAGAGAAAGAAACAATAATTTCAACCTTGTCTTGGTCGCCCCCACGAGTACTATGAATGCCACCACTGTGCAACAAAGGATAGTCTAGAACACCATGTCTTCCAGGCTGTTACATACTAGCTCCAGGGCAAGTCGTTGAAGATAACGGGCACAGGCTGCGTGTCATTGGAAAGGTTTGATGCCCACTCTGAGGCAGAAACAACACAAGCTGCCTCAATGTCCTTTACATCCCTCGCGCGATCTTAATGCCTTTGCCTGCACAGAAGGAATAGCTACCGCCACATTCTTCAAATGGTACATTGAAGAGCCAAAGACAAACTCAATGAAAACAGTCCTCCGTCCCTAAAATCCTAGCATTCAATCTTCGAGCCGCGGAAGAGGACATTGACCAACAAGCAAGGAATCCTCGAAATCCGCAGCTAAGACCCCAAGCCCAAGCTCTCAGCATTGTGTCCATCGTACTCCCTTATTAAAACCTTACAGAACGAATTATTCACGAACATCTTGATGTGGAGCCGACAAAAGGCGGGACTTGCCTGACGGTTTTGCAGCGCTTCTAACATCGTCAGCCTGCTTCCGCGAGACACAGGTTCGAGAGGGTGGCAGTTAACCGGTATAAGTGCGCTTGAAGGGTTTTGGTGGTTTGTAGTTCTGCTCAAGTGCCATCTGCATGGGCACCAGCAGGACAGAACGTGCCCTCATTCACATTCAGCTTCTTTGATTGCAGTGCTTCTCGCGCAGCTAGAACTTGCTGGAGGAGGTTTGGCCTTTAGTACTGTAACTGTAGCTTTGTGGTCCTGATTCGGTTGATTCTGCTTCGATGCTTGCGCTTTGGTGATTAGGTCTGCCCAGCTGAGGGTGCTGAAAGCTATCCTGACGCACATGCTCTGAAAGGCCAATGGAATCCACTTATAATCCCTAGTATATATCACTAGGGTCCCCAAGAAAGAGGGACCCCTTCAATTCTCCAGCAACCCTGATACATCCCTGATTCCCTTCAGCCACTGAAGCTTTGGGGCCCTAAACCCTATACTTTTAAAGTAGAGTGTACGTAAAGTGATGGGGTTTGAGGCTTTAGGATTTAGGGTTTAGGCATTTCAGCTTCGGCAGGTTCCGGTTCTCCTTTACGAGTTTTTGCTTTGGCGAATTTCGTTCCTTATGCATTGCTGTGTGTGAAGGAGACTGGCCCCCCGCAAGCAGCTGTAGACTCCGGAACTGCTGTTGAACATGCCTAGAAATCCCGCATGGCCCTGAGCACCTGTAAACCCTGGGAGTTACCTAAACCCTAGACCCAAACCCTAAAGCAGTTTGAATTTTGTGTTCCATTATCCCAATATTAGCCCCCCCACAGTCCAGATATAGCAAGTATACTAAGGCCATGCAGGATTCTTTGTACCAACTGCAAGTAGGATGCCTCGCGGAGTCAGAGAAGGTGGGTTTGGGTATGGTGGTCTTAGAGCCGAACATTGTGGAAGTAGAAAACCTTGCAAGATCCGCCAAGCACCGCACTTTCTAGGGCCTACAATGTACCAGGTGGCGCAAGCTTTCCTCCATGCAGAGTATGGGCCTTCTACCCTAAAATCAAAAAAACAAGACCTCAAACCATGGATGTCTGCATCAGGATCCTCAATGCCCTCATGAGGACCCATCCCAAAGCCTAGGCCCTAAAGCCTATAGAGTTCAGATGTTACATCATGGTCATCATAATTATCTGAGTCTCCAACCCTACTGTTGACGCCCTAAACCCAGAACCCTAATGTAGACCCCTGATTAATTAACCCCCTCCCCTTAATAGGGAATATAATAGGGATCCTAATATTAAGGCCCTTAAAAGGAGGGGGTTTATTAATCATGGGTCTACATTAAACCATAAACCCTAAACACTTCCGACACCTGGTTTCATCTCGCAGGCATGCTGGGGGCGGAAGATCCGGATCCTGCCTCCGCATGGTCGTCAAGGAGGGTAAGGAGACTACCCTTCTTGTTGCTATTATCATTATCATTCTCCTTCTTACCGTTTTCATTATTATTACTATGTTGGTGTTGTGTTCGTCATTCTGTGTTTGTCCCTATTGTGAGCTTATTTCAACTAAATCAACAGCCACATGTGTTTCTGGACCCGGTCAAGGCGTTTCAAGGCAACGCTTGAAGACCCTCTCGCAATGTGGTTGCGCTGTTAGGGGCCCTGAGACGATTTCAAGTCAGGCGAGGAGAGAAAATCCCGAGGGCCCGGATGAACCGAAGGAGCGTCAAAGAGGACGCGTCGATTTGAAATTCTCAGATACAGTATTTGCTCCAATTATGTTTGCTGTTGCCATCGTTGTTGGTAGTCATTCGTGTGCACTTGTCGGTGATACCTAAAGGCACTGAATACTCCTAAGTCCACTATAAGCAGCCTATCATGATTTGAAACATTGTTATTACTATACCGGCTATACCCATAGTTGCAGGAAACCATCACTGAGCAAAACTTCAATAGCGCAGGCTTCACGGTCTTTAGCACTCACACTGCATTTCCAGAGCGTGCTGTCTGTGAGCCGCACAGCACCCCCTTTTTGGGGGACACTTCTGTTAAAAGACTTGCCAGGCAGCCACAATGCCCAAGCCCCTTAATCAATCCAGAGCATGGATCTCCCAAACGCTGTTCTGCTCACAACTACAGTGATACCACGTCTTTCTACTGCTTCCTTTACTCTTCGGACCAGCAGGGTGCTGTGCCACGTTGTTGGGGGTCCATCTCTTGGATCACCTACTGTCAGGGGCTTGGGTAAGCAAAACTAACAAAAGCAAAATCCTAAACCCTAATCCCTA